GAAATGTCTAAACAAAAACATAAATTATGATGTAAACAAGTTGTTTACATCATATTTTAATAAATATCTGCAGCCTGACAATCACAAGTATCATACAATAGTTTTACTAAAAGAGCGCTGTCAATGTATTAAAGCTTTATGAAAAAGTGACGTTCGTAAAGTCGCAGACCTTCAAAAGCCACCAGATATTCATTAAAAACATTATACAGATGGGCCAAACAACTCAAAGAAACGAACGACCTTAAGCAAAGAAGTCATTCAGGATGTCCAAAACGTCTTTCTCCTTTTCAGCGTCGCTATCTTGGTCAAATTACGAAATCGCGCAAATGTGCGTTAAGTAATGAAATAACTGAAAACCTAAAAAAAAATACCCTGACCTTGATATTGCACCTCGGACAGTTAGAGAAAACCTTTAAGACCTTGAGTATAAAGTTTGTATTTTTCATTCAGTTCCTTTTCTTACCCAGGATGTTATGAATCGTCATGTCACTTGAGTAAAAGCTCATCAAGAAGAATGTTGGAATAATGTCGTATTTTCTGATGAGTCGATATTTCAGATGTTTTGTAATATGACGCTAGTTCGTTACAAAGTTGGAGAAATAATGTCGAGACGAGTTATGGTAAAACACCCCTTTAAAGTTCATGTATGGGGTGCGTTTTGTGCAAAGGGAATTGTCAGATTTCATATGTTTACAGAGAACATGAATGGAAAGCTTTACCAGAATATTGTAACTGAAAATTTGTTTGAGCAAGCATCCCAGATCTTTCGAAACAGGTGGACATTCCAACAGGATAATGATCCTAAGCATCGAGCTAAGCTTACGATCGCTTTGCTTCAGGATCGTTGTCCTTGAGTTCTCGATTAGCCGTTTTCTTCTCTGAATCTTAATCCAATTGAGAATCTATGGGCAATAATGAAAAGAAATATCGAGAAGAAGGTTAATATTATGGTCATTGAAAAAAATTAGTTACGCAGGAAATTTTTATAAGGTTAATAAGGGAAGAATGGGAGGCAATCGATGTAAACTTATATATTAATCTTGTAAGGTCTATGCTAGGGCGTATAGGAATGGTAGTAGAAAGCCAAGGTCACACGATAAATTTTTAGGATTTTTATATTTTCATTATATATATTTGGGGGGTTTAATTTTAAAATATTGGATTTTTTAATAAAAGCTGGGCGAGATATTTGCCAATTTGTAATTGTCATTTTTTTCCGCTAGAACTGTAGTTAAATAGAATTATCAGAGTGGATTTTTAAATGTGAAACTAAATATATTTTAAACTTAAAAATTTATTATACAATTAATTAAAAGGAAAATCACATTAAGTGAAATATTAATAATATAAAATTCTCTACAATAGTTATAAACATATTTTTATAGGTATAATATTTACATTTTTAAAGACATTTTGTGTTTTTTTTTCTAAATAGCAATGATTTAATTATCTAATATTTTGAATAAAAAATTAATCAAAAGTATTCAACTAAACTTTTAGATTTTATTTATTTAAATTTGATGTTGAGTTATTACATAGCATTTATTTATAAATTGATTCTTAACCTATTATTAATACATCAAAATAAAAAAAACTACTTGAGAATATTATATCATAATCATAACAAAATAAATAATTTAATAGTTTTAGAAGAAATGTATTTTTACTAAATTAAATAAAAATATATATATATATAAATTTATATAAAATACTAGAATAAAATAATTAAGATTTATAAATTTATTTAAAATACCATTATTTTAATAATTTATTATCTTAAAATTTAATATAAATATAATTTGTTAAATAAAAATAATTTTTAAAAAATTATATTATATTTGATAATACTTTAAAAAAAATAAAAAAAAATTATATAAATAAGAAAATAAAACTTATTTTTTATTATAATATTATATTTCTTAATAAACTTAAATATCTATTAGGTTATTTGTAAAAAATAAATAAATAAATAAATATTATAATTTATTAATTAATAAATTTGTATGTATAAAAAAAGAAATGTATTTTTAAAAAATTTTATTAAAGAATTAAGTTAAACTTAATATATAGATAATTATAATATATTTTTAAATTACATAAATAAAAATTTTATTTGACAAATATGTTAATAAACTAATTTCTATTTTATAAATCAACTTAAAAATAATGTCAATTCAACTTTTATAACTGTTTTTAGCAATATTAAAGAAAAAAATAGTACTAATCATTATAGAAAAAGATATAGCAATTCAATTAATATATCTGATACCAATTTGAACATATATAATATCCAGATGGATAATGGATATATATAAGTATTTATGTCCAATTAGATAAATGTCTAATAGTAAAGATGATAAAAGAGATATTTTACATTTTAAGGCCTTTTCAATTAGTAAACAAGAAAAATAACAAGAAAAAAAAAGTTGAAAGACACTTTCTCAACACTTTACGTTTTTATATTTTACATACAATATCTAAGATTTCGGTTGGAGAAATTTATATATAAATCGGTAAGATTATAAAGCATTGTGTCAATTCATCTCTCAAAGTATTTATCTAATTTAAACGGGAAATGAGTATATATAAATTAAACATCGATTTCAAAACAAACAAGGCAACAACAATGATAGATAAATACTTGAACCAACAACAATTCATCAAATGATTGCAAAATCGTTTGACACTAACATTTGATTTTGTATACAATAAGCTTACACAAAATTGCATATGTCTGATCTGATTAAACCATCAACCGCCGAAATACGTTTTTGTTATAGTAATTGTTAATTATAATCCTGCGTATGACACGTAACTTTCGTCATACCATGAAACTAAGGAAAGGTGTGGGATATGAGGATTTTGAGACAATTTGGTTGTTTATATATTAAGGTACTTCGAATTGAGACTTTTCTTAATATGTAAACAATTCATATCATGTTAAATAAAAAACACGTATTTTACGTTGAACGGATTTTTTAAGTTTTATTGTGTGGCTGAAAAATTTTTTTGATCATCACATTAGTTAGCCTAATTAATAAAGTTAATATTTACATATAACTTGCATTTTTATGGAAAGGAACTATTTATAGAGGTGCATTAATGTGTACCAAGAAAGCATAAACAATAAAATTTACAATGGCCAATAAAGAATTTTGTACACAGGGACAACAGGAAATAAAAGTTGTAATGAGAGAGAATTTTACTTTTTTATAATTTTAATATTTTATTGTAACCTTATATTTGAAACATTTCTCATTTGAATACTATTCAAAATAACCAGTAGTGCAGAAATTATTCTATTGATTCGTACATGATTAGTTTTAAAAAAAAATTTTTTTGACGCGAGTCAAAGATAAACACAACTATCCAAACTATCCAAATAAAAAATTTTAAGTTAAAAAATTTATTAATGGTGAAAAAGATTAGTTTTGTAGCATCATCCAAAAAAAAAAAAATTATTTATCATTTTTGTTTTCGATGAAGAAAAAGTGTTCATAATTATGCCAAAAAAAATACATTATATTCTAATATAATAATAATCCATGAAATATGTAAATATCAAAATTTTTAAATTTCGTTAATATCCGCTTGAGCATAATTGTCGCCACTTTCATTAATACGCATATAAGATCCTTGTCCTTGTCGTTTCATCATTTTATTGGGACAAGTGCGTTTCCTTAATCCACCTCTTGGCGCGAGGATGCCCGTATTGTCACAGTTTAGATTGAAATTTTCAAAAAGATTTCTGAAGGACTTCGTGCCACCATCGGGGGAAGGTTGTACATTTAATCCTGATGTGAGGTCCTGGAGGACTTCTCCACATTCATCAACAACTTGGAAAGTGTAATTTTTGCCAGCATCTTGGAAGCCCTTGCTGAAAAGTCCTGTGACGGTCGTGAAACCACATTCGTCTTGAGCATAGACAGTTAATCCTCCAACTAGGCCATCAAAAACTGCTTCAGCGAGAGCGCAAGGGCACTTTTTGTCCGTTCTTTTACCCAAACCTCTCTTAGTTAGACAACCGGTTCGTTTTTCAAGGGTTTGTTCATCAGTTTGTAAAGCTGCAGAAACAGCAATGAGAGATAAGAGAATATAGGCAAAAAATGCCAAAGATATAAATTTATTCATATTAAAATTTTTTTTTTTTTTTTTTTTTTTTTTTTGTCCTTATATATTATATATTATTTGAATTTTTTATTTTCTTTAAAAAAAAAGAAAACTATTTTTCGTTAAAATAAAATGGTTGAATGGGTTATCGATATTTTCGATGAGGAAATGGGAATTGAGTGGGAGAATACGCCTTTTTATATCCATCTTAAAGAAAGACATTAAATTTTTTTTTTTTTATATTGTGTGCGTAATTCAATTAAAATCACGGAGTTTTCATCAAGTTTTAGAAATAGTAATATTTGCGTAACTATAAACAGAATATTGAAGGAGTAGCACCATTGTTTTAAATTGATTCTTTTTCTATATTTCTAAATCTATATATTATTTTTATAAAATATTATTTATATTTACATTCTTTATTAAGGAGATTTTTATGAAATTTTTAAAATTTTTTTTTTTTGTGCTTTTACTCTCCAACATCGAACTTCATAATAACAAAAAAAAAAAAAAAAAAAAAAATTCGTTATTTATTACTTTTCTATTTTTCCTTTTTTTTCCCTTGATTTTAATTTACTATTTTGAATTGAAATTTCTATTTTTACAATTTTTTTACATTCGTGCAACCTTGTCCATTATAAGAAAAAAAAATTTTTTTTTTATGTTTATAGGGGTTATAAAACCACATAGATAATATAATTAGAATCGAGACATTTGAGTAACAGGACCAGGTAGAAAATCAAACACATCAAAGAAAATTTTATGCAGGACGTTGATGATTTTGTATTAATTTGGCTTACTGGAGATACGTCCTATTGATATAATTATCGGCAGGAGAAAAAAAACTTTGAATTGTTTTATTTGTAATTCTATACACCCACCGAATAAAAATGTGCCTTGGGCGTACTCAATTATGCACGACATTGAGAAATCGTGTCACGTGAATGATAAATCATGAACGAATCGAATTTACTCGTCCATTAAAGGGGTTAGATTTCTTTCATTAAATCGGATTTATGTGGTTTTCTTTATCCTTTTTTTTCGGAAAAAAATTTCTAAAAAATCAAAAGAAAGGAAACTCAATAATAATAAAACAAAAAAAAAAAAAAAAAAAGATTTCTTTTTAACATGTCGCATAATCTGATAATGCACTTCTTTTTCATTTGAACAACAACTCGTCTTGGCCTGGTAGAATTAAACTTATTGGAAAAATGCATCATCATCTTTTTTTAGATGATGCATATTTATTTATAACATACGTAACATGAATATCTATAAATATATAATTGAACCGAATTAACGTATTAATGTTATAAATTGAAATTATCCGTGAAATTCTTTTTCCCGTTCTTAGGTTTATCGGAAAATCCGTAAGTTGATTGTTTTAATTTTTCGAAACGTGTATTTAAACGTGTATTTATTTTTGGTCATCTCGAGATAACTGGTCGAATTTCGGCTCTAACTATTTGTGTTTTAATTCGTAATGATAAAAAAAAAAGAGGCCCAACCAATCTCTGGTATCGATGTGGCTGATCCTTTCATCATACATATAAAATGTGATATACTGGTGCGTGACTTGATCGAATTCAGCCAAACTTCTTTTGTATTTTTGGAATTTGAATAGAAAAAGCGTTAGATAAACTTATTAAGATTGATCACAGCAGTTTCGCATATGTAAAAAAAAGAAATTTAAATCATGTAAAGTACATATATCCCGAACGAAAATTTTTAACCGATCGTAAATAAACTTATTATGAATATCCTTTAAAAGTATAGTCTATTTCATTGTAAGACGTTAGATGTTGCTCATTTTTAGTGTATAACGGGTTAATCGGATATGTCGGAAGAATAAATTTCGATTCGAAGATTTTAACAAAGAAAAAGTCAGAAAATATGAAGGAACATTTTGTCGATGATAATAGATTAATATATTAGATCCGAACGTGCATTTATTTATAAAATTCGTAAAATCCGTTCGATACATCTTAAAAAAAAAAAAGTCGTGCTCAAGAAAGCAAAGTTATTGATCTAGCGCTAAGAAGAAATGTATATTTTAAAAATAACATATTCTTGTTCTTTGTGGGAATAAAGATATAGTTGGTTAATACCGTTTTTTCATTCATTCATTTTTTTTATCATTTGTGGTGGTGATCGTCAAAAAAAACAGCGAATATAATCATTCCAAAATTAGACATCGTGCCCCTCACCTTTTTGGGTACACAACACCACGTTCAGGATTAGAACTTAAAATTTTGCCCAAATATGTAAAAGTCTAATTAACAAAAAACCATTTGATATAACATGTCTATTTATTAGTTTATTATCCTAAAAAAAAAAGATACATGCAGAATTTATCGAAAAAAAACTTTCTTCAGTACCAATGCGAAATGGCAAATGGCAATAATTTCCAATAACAACTAAGCCTTAAAAAATTTGACCCCAAACGGTCTTTATTCTGATCAGTTCTTTGATTAAAATTTACGTTGAAATTTAACTAGAACAAACGCCAAAGGTAGATCTAATCAAATATGCGGGCGCAATGCGAAAATTAAATTCGATTGGAAGTACGTTACACTTGTGATTGATTAATTTTGTGGAAATTTGCATTTTAAGAAGGTAATTAATTGAATGCATAACTTATCGGTTTCAGACAAAAAAAAAAAAATGATAATTTTTGTGTTCAGATACTTTTCTTTAAGGTAGTATGAGATAAAAAAAATTAGTTGTAAAGATTACAAGCATATAATACGAATCGACGACAAGGAAGATCCATTTAGAAATTCCTTTGATTGATATTAAATTTATTTGATAGATATGCAATCTTTGTCAAGGTTGCCTGATATAACAAAATAAAGAAATCCTTGTTATCCCATATGAAGTAAAGGATAACTAGGTTATTCCCGGGATATACAGTACATGCAATGCATGTAACCATGAATCCATATGGAATACTCATTGCGTATGACGAATACACTGGTTGAAGTATTAATGCTTTTAGAATTTAAGCTTTTCTCTTTCACGCTCTCTTCATGCTTTTTAATGCTTTCCTTTCCCTTAAAAATATTATCACAGTAACATTTTTTTAATTAGTTAAAGATTAAAATATCTTATTCAATACAATTGTCTCAAAGAAAAAAGATAAAATCCAAGTTGAATGAATATACAAGAACTATCAAAATTTTCAAGGCATTATTCATTACTAAATTATATTGATCTAAATTTTCGTAGTACCGTATAGCGCTCTATAAAGTACCCCCTTAAAAAAATACCCCAGTTAATTGTATCCGAGTATTAAATCGTTCATATAACATAAAAATTTAATTATTTTACAAATAAAATTAATAAAATTAAAAAAATAATTAAATTCATTATTTTCAAAATGTTTATACTTTATTTCAAATTCTCAAATATTTCAAATATTTTATTATGTTATTATACATTTAATTCCAATCATTAATATGATTTCTTTCTTTGTGTTTCATAATAATCATCTTCATATTCTTTATCACAAATATTATTTTTTTCTTTTTTCTAAATAAATTTTGATATTTCTATCTTCCTGATCATCTATTTCATCATTTAAGTAAATATAATTACTTTTATTAGTAGTATTACTTCTCACAACTTTATCATAATCAAATATAAGATGTTCTTTACTTCCATCTTATTCATTAGAAATTTCACAACACTTGAAAGAATAACAAATTAAAGAAGAATCTACAGCATTCTATACATTTTTGACCCATTGAGCAACTAAATTATAAGCAGGTTTTTGAATATGACCACTTGGAGTATAAGTTTTATTTCTTCAGCCATCCAATCATTATAATAATGATGCAACTATTATTAATATAAATAAAATTTTTAATATTTGAATTATAAATATAAATATTTTTAAATATACCTTAGATTTAAAAGATTTGTTAATTGATACATCTAATAGTTGTAATTTAGAAGTAAGCCTACCAGATATAACTGCAATGTTAGTATTTTTTTCTTGAAATCGAGTTTTAATAGAATTTACCAAATAACTAGCAAAAAAATCAAGTACCAATAAGAGTCGAGGATTACTAAATAATGAAGTATGTTGATTCCAAATATTTTCAATCTAAAATAATATTTTTTTTGTATTAGAATAATATTCTTTATTAGCATGGATAATAATACCTAAAGAAAAAACTTGTCGAAGAACTTTTGCTAATTTAAAAATAATTGTTATTGGTAATTTTATTCCATTCGCTATAAAAGCTAAAATTACAGTAAAATTTGATTTTTCATATCTACAAGTCTGAATACTAACAGTTTTTGAATCAGTTTATTCTATTATTATTTGACTAGAAAGATTAAATAAAACAGGTATTTCATTCATATTATCAATAAGTTTTAATGGATAATTATATTGAATCCGCTGATAAAAGAACAAATCCTAAAAATTCATGTTGCTTTTCTAATAAATCTTCAGGTAATTATTATGCTACAATTATATATTAATGATGATTAAATTTATATTATATCATAAAATCTATCAATCTATTTATTACTAAATTTGTATTCTTTAATATCAGGATATATAGTATAAAATTGATCTGTTTGTGCAAGAACTTAAGCTTTTATTTGTATTATTAATCTGATTATAACTTTTAAATTTTAATATAACCCCTTAACCTACTGGTCTAAAATGTTTCAAGTTCTAAATATTTTAGATGTAAACTAATCTGAGATTTTTAACATATTCATTTTGATTACTTTTTATATAAAATATAATATATGCTGATCTTCTTTAGATCACATTCTTATATTAATTATAATATTCCTTGTAAATTATAAATTATAATACTCCTTACATTTAACATATAACTAAAAATTAAATCATTTAAATTTAAATATTTTGTTACAAAAATTAGCTAAAAATTCTAATTAATAATATAAAAAAAATTTATTATTTTAAATAATTTATTAATTTAGTTATAATAAAATTAACAACCCTTTTTATATTATTTTATCTTTTGATATTTTAATTATATAATTAAACCTTCTTATAAAACATTTTATTTCAAAAAATTGTGATTTATTTTCATAAATTTCTTAGATAAATTATTAATTAATATTAATATTTTAAGGTTTATTAGTAAATGATTAAATATTATTTTTATAGAAGAGAATATATTAGGCCTTTGCAATAGAAAGAGAGGAAACTCCAAAAAAATTAAAATTTTAGTTTATAAGCCAAAAATGTTTCAAATACTATAATTTGTTCAGATTTATTATTAACTCATTTTTTATTTTTTTTTGAGTTTCCTCCCTTTCTATTGCAAAGGCCCCATATAAAATAAAATGGGTTAAAATTTTATTAAATTGTTTATTATTAATATCCTATATTCTTTGTGATTATAATTTGATACATTATTTTTGACTTGATATTCGATATCTAAAAAAAAGTAAGGTTAATTAAAAATTATTTTAATCTTAATTTTAGAAAAGGTAATTATCTTTAGCATATCTATCAACTTTTATTATATCTTTCCAATTGTATTTAATAATTTAAATATTTAGCATATATGATTATTCTATTTATTTTAATATATTTACACTATTAGCAAACTGTAATTCTGATAAATAGATAAAAATGGATTTTCATAATAAATTAATTAAGAAATTAATTTTTACAATTAAATCAAAATATATATGATATCTAAATAAAATAATTCATATTAATAAGATAAAATTGTTTTACATCTGATTCTGATTCTAATTCTAGAGTTACTTACATATATTTATTAATAATTGAAAATTAATAACTAAAAAATAATATTAAAAATTAGTATTATTATGTAATTTAACAAAAAATATTATTAATTAATATATATACTTGATACATCAAAAAAGCTTTCAAAATTATTTGTAATTAGTCTAAAATGAAATGTAGGACTATATATATATAGAGTCTAAAGTTACATATATATTTGTTTGTCTGCCTACTTAATAATTGAGTTGATACTGATTGGCCTTTATAATTATACAAAATTCTAGATAAAAGCAAATACTAATGGATTATTCTGAACTTATAAGATTAGCAATCCTGGCTTAATCTATAAGATGCGAGTTCCTATTATAGATTATACTACAATAGTCACAGGTTCAGATCTCAGCCAAAGCATAAAACTAGATGATTTTCATAAGAATTTCATATGTAATTAAATACGTGAGCATTTATACTAATAAATGTTAGATACTGATCAATTGATTGATCAATTGATTTATCAATTGACGTTAATCATGCCTAAATACTGAATTTTAAAGAACATGTGAATGCAAATGAAGTTAGGGATTGACAGAAACTTGGCCTTTACTGACAAGTCTGTAATAGATACTGGGTTCAATTCTCAAGTGAATTTGACGTTATGAGTACAAAACCACTATCTATATAAAGGACCCAATCCCATAGTCTTGATAGTCATCAATAGGGTAAAACCCTATAATTTAGATTGGTAAAAATAGAGCCTGACAAGCTCTATAGTTGAAGTAAGCCCTCTATTCAAAGGTGATAATATCTAATAAGATCTAGTGAGGCTTGTGACGAGGGATTAAACTGTTGCAAGATAGTTTATACTAGGTAGTAACTATACGGAGATGTACTTCAAGATGGGTTATCATATTCCTTAAAAAGGATCGAAAACTTAGAAAGGTAACCTAACGTGAGGTCAAACTTGTTCTATTGAGGATATGCCTTCTGCTTACCTCTAGCCACTGCATATTAATAGTAAAAAAAATCATTCTGGACTTATAACAGTTTCCATTTTCTAGTAATTAAAACATATAGACTTTATTGCAAAAAAAATAAAAAATACTTTTATTATTGATATAAATTGAATTAAAAGTATTTTAATATTAATATGCAGCATTTCAGATCAAAATTTGCTATTATATCTTATTATAATGTATTAGAGATTCAATAACATTCATTTAAAGAATGTATTATATTATTATTTACAGTATATTAATCTAAATCATATCAAATATTTTGAAATTAAATTCAAGGGAAAGGTATTTTGTATCATATTTCTTTACTTGTTTCTGTTTTCTTATTTCTACCAGCCAAATTTTAATTTAATTTTACATATATTAATTTGATTGAGCTTCAGTAGAGATGAAAATAAAACTTTGTTCTGAAATAGTGTTTAATGAAGTGGAAGATTTCTGAAATATTTTTATAATTATAGTTATAATTATAGATATAGGTGTAGGTAGTTGATTTGTTGAAGTTGAAGAGGATTCTGTAGTTTTTTCAGCATTTTGCTTATTCTTTACATTGCATTTTTTAAAGCATTTAGAACATCCATAAAATTCACAAAAAATTTCTCTTTATTTAATATATAAAAAAAAGATGATCAACTAATTATCCTAATTATTTAAATTTTTGATAAATTGTATTCTTAGTATAATACTCCCATTTAGTATACCCTTCATTATATACAGTATTCTAAGAATATTATTTACAATCAGCCTAAAGCTTTGAACAGTTCAGATTAATCTGAAAATTTTCAGTTTGGATCAACTTCAGTTCAGTTTCAGATTGAAAAAATTTCAATCTGAAAATTTTCAGTTCAGTTCAGATTTTTTTCAGATTATAAATCTAATCTGAACTGAAAAAAATCTGAACTGAACTGAAAATTTTAGATTAATCTGAAATTTCAGATCATTTAAAACGATTAAATTTATCGTTCTTTTAGAATAATTAAAGTTATCATTCCAAACAAACGATAAAAAAATCATTCAATTAAAATGATTAAATTATCATTCCAAAAGAATGATAAAAGGATCATTCAATTGAAATGATGAAATTATCATTCTAAATGAATGATAAAAGAATCGTTCGATTAAAATGATCAAATTATCATTTCAAACAAACGATAAAAGAATCGTTCGATTAAAATGATAAAATTATCATTTCAAATAAACGATAAAAAAATCGTTCATTTGGAACGATTAAAGTTATTATTCTAAACGAACGATAAGAAAATCATTCGATTGGAATAATGAAATTATCATTCTAAATGAATGATAAAAGAATCGTTCATTTGGAACAATTGAAGTTATCATTTCAAATGAACGATAAGAAAATCATTCGATTGGAACAATAAAATTATCATTCTAAATGAATGATAAAAGAATCATTCATTTAAAATGATTGAAGTTATCATTTCAAATGAACGATAAGAAAATCATTCGATTGGAATGATGAAATTATTATTCCAAACGAACAATAAAAGAATTATTCATTTGGAACAATCAAATTATTGTTCTAAATAAACAATAAAAGAATCATTCAATTGGAATGATCAAATTATTGTTCCAAACGAACGATAAAAGAATCATTCAATTGGAATGATCAAATTATCATTCCAAATGAACAATAAAAGAATTGTTCAATTGGAATGATCAAATTATCGTTTCAAATGAATAATAAAAGAATTGTTCATTTGGAACAATTAAAGTTATCATTTCAAACAAACAATAAGAAAATTGTTTGATTGGAATGATCAAATTATCATTTCAAATGAACAATAAAAGAATCGTTTGATTGGAACGATCAAATTATCATTCTAAACGAATGATAAAAGAATCGTTCATTTGAAACGATTGAAGTTATCGTTCCAAACAAACAATAAGAAAATCGTTTGATTAGAATGATTAAATTATCGTTCTAAACGAATGATAAAAGAATCATTTGATTGAAACGATTAAAGTTTTCATTCTAAATGAATGATAAGAAAATCGTTCGATTAGAACGATCAAATTATCGTTTCAAATGAATGATAACAGAATCATTCATTTTGAATGATTGAAATTATCATTCCAAACGAACGATAAAAAAATCGTTTATTTAGAATGATTGAAATTATCGTTCTAAAAGAACGATAAAAAGATCGTTCTAAATGATTTGAAATTTTAGATTAATCTGAAATTTTTGGTTCAGTTTAGATTTTTACCAGTTTACAGTTCAGTTTGGTTTTGGATTGGCATTTTTAAGATTTATAATCTGAACTGAACTAAACCAAAATTTTCAGTTCAGTTTCGGATTGGCCTATAATCTGAACCAAACCAAACCGTTCAGAGCATTATATATTTATTATATTTTATTTATTTTATATATTTTATTTATTATATTTATTTCTTTTATATCTTTGATAATTTTATATTTTTCATTTTATATAAATAGAGGACAATTTCTTTTAGCTTAATGATATATCTGACTTATAGTTTTATTAAATAGTTTAGTTTAATTCTCTTAATATAATTGTATAGTACTGAGCGTTGACTGAGGTAGTATTCTATTATTATAGTTATTAAATAAACTATTAATTTACTGATACTTTTCTAAATCTAATTATCAAATTAAACCTTCTGCTTACTACTCATAAATATTGCTTCGCTTATTATTCATTAGCATCTTAAAGAACTGATTATAACAATATTATACTAAAACTAAAAAAAAATTATGTATTATTGTATTTATTATCTTTTATATTAATTTTAATTATTTAATCAATAATTAATGAGCATTTGTATTTGTTTGACAGATATATTCATTTTTGAAATTGGCATAATAATAATTAATTATATATATAATTCATTTTTTTTTTTTTTTTTTTTTTTTTTTTAAAAAAAATTCTTCATTTTTTCTAACCATCTATTTTCCTTTTATTCAAATTTTCACGTCTTTCTTCAAAGAATTATCAGAAAAATTTTTAAAATTTTAAATGAATTTAGTTATGAACATTATATGGTTTTATTTGAAAAACTAGATAGAATTGAAGTATGGTTGATTAGCAACTAAGTTATTGATTTAGTTAGTAATTACAATTTTTCAATCATTTAAGTAAAATAATTGAATAAGGGCTTGTCATCAAATCTCCAATTTGTGAAAAATCAATGCTAAAATGTGAAGAACAAGTGTGTTCAATTTTCTAAATTATAGAAATATACTTTCAAATATATAGATCAGTTACTATTAAGATTAAATTATAAATCACATAATTTATAATATGATTTTATATCTATATAACTTTAAGATTATATATTTCCTCCCACATATATTTTAGCATATGCTAACTTAGGTTTTATTAGAATCAATAGATTTTTATATTTTAAAAAATTAATTAATTATATATTTATTTTATTTATTATTAATTTTAATAAAATTCTGTATCTGCTTTTGATTGATATATAACTAATCAAAATAAAGATTTTTGTAAAGATTTATTTTTAAGTTAGCAAAATCGAATCAAAGTTCTTCCTAAAGATTTTGATAAAGTTATTAAAACAATATATGATTTAAACGTAAGTTATAGATTAGATTTAGCTGAAAAATATCTTCATAAATTTGTTATTTACGAAGATATTAAAAAAGAAAAAGACTTTATTATTATTAATGAAAATCAATCTGTTTTGTTAAAATGTGATGATAAAATTATTAAAAGAGTAATTCATAATGTTGCAAAAAAATGTTGTAAATCATTTTGAGTTTAAAATAAAACTTATCTACAATGTATATTCTAAAATTAATTGTAAATAAAAATCTTAATCCAGAGATTCAAAGAATATATGATGAAGATAGAAATAGTTTTGAAGAATGGTTATATAAAAATGTTAAAGATATCAGGATAAGAATAGATCAGAATTTGCAATAAAACTTGTTTATGAAATTAGTATAGTTAAAAAAAGGTATTTTATTTATTCTGAATATAGTGTTGCTATTAAAATAATATCAAATTCAATATAATGTTGGTTAATATAAACTATATATAATATATTTAAACTTAATTTAAGTGAAGATTATGGTAATAGCTTAGTTTGACTATAGGATATCTTTCTAAGCAATCATCATTTGAAAATATAAATCTAATAAAATAATAATTATAGAATCAAGTTCTACTCCATGTGTCTAAAGAATTAATGCAATTGATTTAAACCTGTGCCTACATGGCTATGGATACTTACTTAATTTGACTATAGGATATCTTACTGCGTAATCATCATTTGAGAATATAAATCTGATAAAATAATAATAATCACTAACCTTCAAAGGAATATCAACAATTTTCAAATACTTTTCAAAATTTTGTTGGTCAAGGTTTTTCACCTTATTAATTACATTATGAATTATTTCTCTCAGTTCTTCTTTTGGATACCATGTATCATATTC